CAGGGAAGTCTTTTTGTTACTGTTGCCATTTTGATATTTGAACCATCACACCTGTACTATACCAATTACGGTAATATTACGTTGCGTGTGACAATAATTACAGAGCGCAGTGATTGCCTTTATGTATTTTGCTAGACATTTTAGCATGACCGTATTCTTTGTGCCTAGTATGTTAATAAAGCTTGTATCAGTGTTGCCCTCAGAAAACTGTCTAATTGTGTTGAGAAGGATCTGTCTTTCATGTTTGTATAGCTGACATTTTAACAAAAAGTGCTCTTCATCTTCAATATCATTAGTATCACATATATTTGTATGATTTCTTGTTACTTATAGATTGCACCAGCAGAATTGGAAGCTCTGTTATTGACTCATCCTCAGATTCAAGATGTGGCTGTAATCGGAATACCTGATGATGATGCTGGGGAACTTCCTAAAGCATTTATCGTACCAAAAACTGATCAAATTACAGTGAGAGAAGTAATCAAATTTGTAGAAGGTAAACTTATTCCTCCTGTAAGATGCTGTGCACGTCCGTACATTGAGGACTAGCAATTGACGCCGGTACACAATTTATTATAATGAGCATCTCCATATATAGAATTACACGTCATTGATATGCTAATGTGATGATGTCATATTCAGGTCATACAAGGTCAATACACTACATAAGAGAAGTGTGAATGCATGCTTAAAGCTGTGTCTACATTAAAGCGATCTGACGGCTGGTATATTTAGAATGTACTCAACACGTGTTGCCTATGCTAAATAATTATTATATAGGAATATCATTTAATCAACAACAAAATGTTTCCAAGTATTGCATGTGATTTAATATCGTGTACACCCCTCCTTCGAAAGATTGGGACAAACTAAAAATAGCTAAAAATGTTTGAGTAAAGCTTGAAAATTGGCTAATATAGCGTTCAATTAAAGTAATATTGAAGGAAATAAGAAAAAGTGCAGACAAATTTCAGCGAGAAAGGCTGGTGGGAAAAGGGTTACCCCATATTGCTGCTGATAAACTAAATCATGCTCACTAAGATGTTGTTAAATTTTAGTCATTTCGAACAGTTTACATAACATATAGAACTAAAATCGGTCTAGGCTATATTTTCCAATGCCAACCAAATTTTCAACACATAATGATTTTAGTTATCTTGGATTATACCTTATGATTATAATGTGGTATAAAGGAATACAAACACTGATGTTATCATATCCAGTCACCTTTCCTTATTTTTAACTTTGGTCTCAGTTACAGGATGTAAAAGCAAAAAAAAAAGTATTTTCTGAAAACTGTGGGTGTACGTCCACGACTTTGTGCCAGTTTTTCACCTGTTAAAATGAAAAAGTTGTTTATTATCGTTCACAATATTCTGTAGTTCAGCGTTTTCAGATTTTTTTGTTCGGTTAGGAATTTTTATTTCTAGATCAACTCAATCATTCATGACGTTTGAAATAACGTTTATTCATTCATTCATTCATTCGTTCATTCACTCACTCACTCATTCATATTATGTCATCGTTTTTCCAGAAACCGTTTCTCCTCATAAGCGTCTAAGAGGAGGTGTTCAATTTGTTGAAGAAGTTCCCAAATCAGCAAGTGGCAAGATACTGAGAAGAGTCCTAAAAGATGCCATGAAAAACATGAAGTAATATTTCATAAAATATTTGGTTTATGCAGGCTTTGGTTTACACATTATCAAGGTGCCAATTGTAAGGGGTTATTTACACACAAAAAACATGGTGATTGAATCGAGTAGAATTGACAGCGACATTATTCACAACCTTCAATTGTGAGATGAGTAGTAGTCAACTACACATGTACCTGGTATATGATGAAATAAAACTGGTATTTTTAAATATTTTTCATTAATTTGTAAAAGCTTACAACAATTACAACAAAAAATATATTATTTAAAATTAATTAAACAAAATATCCTGGCAATATTTCACAATGTAAGCCCCCTCCCCAATGATGCTATTTTTTGTGGGGTTGAATAAAGAGAATTGTAATCAATAAATTCTATGGAGTACTTCTTGACCAATCAGAATACCTGATTACATTGTGTTCATAGCAACGAAGGATTTTTTTTCACATAAATTATTAAGAATTGTTTTAATTAATGAAAGACTTGCAAATCCATAATGGGCGAAAGCCCACTTTGTGAGACATATACTAGTATGTCCGAGATGTTAGCCGAATACATATATGGAGTACAAAGTGTGGATTTGGTGCCATTAAAAAGCGAAAAAATTGGAGAAAAATCCACAGCAAACTGAACAGTTTCACAGTCACTGGCCCTTGAATAATTTAAAATGTCTTTCTAGTAATTGTTTCCACAATCTCATATGGCAAACTAAGAAAAGAAACTTTTAGTTTATTGTCCATCAAATATTATTATATTTATATCATTTACATTGCGAGTGAATGAATGACCGATGTGTGGTGTGGAGTAGCATTGTAGTGATTTGCACACGAATGGCACACCGACTGGTACGCGGTCGCGTTGTCTGTGTCAACTTTTTACTTTTTCAACCTCCCCTTGAAAGTCCAATTGCTTTGATATTACCAGTATATATATGGGTACTACATGTGTACCTCTCAGCTTTGTTCATTTTGTGATGACTGTTTTTGTTAAAAAGTGATATTTTCAACTTCTTGTTGCATTTACTTTGATATTATATATATAGGTACTACATGTGGACCTCTCTCAGATTTGCTCATTTTGTGATGATATCTTCAATCCTCTAATTTTGATGAATATTTTTGTTATTTTTAGTAAAATGTGACTTTGACTTCTTGTCCGATTGCTTTGATATTATACATATATGAAATTATACAATTTTCACCATAGTTTCACTTCTTATATATCTCTAACATATCTTCCCATATTTGGCAATCTTCAATATTCACTTCTGATTGTACTTGTTCGATTCTAATGTTTCCAGTAAAATTAACGGATTTTATTTCTTTGTCATAATCTTCTACTTGCAACTCAACTTGTACCCACTCATTTATAGTGCTTAAAAAATTCTGGTTGCTCTAGCCATCTGCTCTTTAAATTTTCTGCGGGGATCCCCCTTGAATTGTCATCTGCTGGATTCTTTGCTCCAGGGACATGCCTCCAACTTCCAACCTTCGTTTTGTTCTGTATCTCTACAAACTGCTTGTAACAATCAGAAGGCTTATTTATCCTAGAACTATCATGCTGTCAGTCAAATGAATCTTCTCCTTGAACATCAATCTTGACTCTTCTGTAATTGATGAGCTCATCCTTGCTGCCATCACCGCGGCTTGCAACTCTAATCTAGGAATTGCAAGCTTCTTTAGAGGAGCAACATGTGACTATGCTGCAACAAATGTAGTTTTGAACATTCCATTTCTTAATTTTCATCTTAAATATGCACATGCATCGAACGCTTTCTCAGACTCATCACAGAAAACGATTGAATCTACTTCTTCAGTAGCGTTCAATGGTGTTAAGCATCTCGTTATCGCCATGTACCTTTTCTTCCTTTTCTTTGTGTCTTAAATTCATACTCTCCTTATTTGTCATTTTGCTGCTCAGTGACTTGGTGACAACCATTCTTTAATACTGAATCCTCCTTTGCTCAGCACATCATCAATGTCACTTGTAAGTTGTTTAGCTTCTTCTATTGTCTTCGTTGAAGTGCAGACATCTGAAGTGCAGACATCGTCCATATACGTGTCATTCTCCAGCACTTCAGCTGCTCTAGTGTAGGTATCTGCACTTTGCCTAGCAGTCATCTTGAGCGCCGTCTGTGCCATTGCAGCGGCAGGTTTATCAATGAATGTCAATACCTTCATTATGTATGTATCCAGTTCCCGTTCGCACTCCGGGTCTTGCCATAGAAATCTGTGTACATATTGGTCCACTTCCGGTATCATTATTCTGTGGTACATCTTAGATATATCTCCGCATACAGCTGGTGTACTCTTCTTATCAGGTCTGACTACAGCATGGTGTGGTACTGGGCATTGATATTTTTTATTTCTGTGTAGCTCAATTTCCTGGCAAATCCATTTCTCAACATTTCTTTCATCTGTTCTGTATATGCCATGCCATGATGTTTGTTCTTAGCCAGTCTGTTTTCTAGTCCTTTCAACATATTAAAATCTTGGCTTTGGCTTGGCCCATGGATCCAATGGATATGGAATGAGCCATCAATCTCCAACTTTGGAAGCAAAGTTTTCTATCAATTTTGCTTCAATATCCTCGACTACATTTAACTTTGCTTTACATTCACAGCTTCCTACTTCAACTCCAATATCTTCAGTTGACCAAAAGTCTTCTAAATTGACAGGTTTACTTATTTTAACATTCATAACTCCATGTGCCATCTGATCATTTGCGTTACACCCATCCTAGTGGCGACGTCATTGCTACTAATCCTTGACTCGATGGTTTCACCTGCGATCAGGCCTGCATTGTCAACGCCAATTAGAATATCAATCTGACCACCCCGTCTATCCAAGCTGTTCTCCTTCATCTTGAATAACCTATCAAGCTCTTTGATGTTAAGCTTCTTTACTTGATTTATCGTCTCAATTTCTAAAGCTTTAATATTGTGGACTATATCTGGCTGCTTTCCACACAGTTTAAGGTCACAGATCTTTGACAGGAAGCTTTCTTCTGTACCTCATATCTTGGTTATAGATGCAGCTACACTCTTTCCCTTTATTTACAATCGGTCAACAAAGTCTTTCCTCACAAATGTGAACCAACATAACATTTGTCATCTGTCTATCTTCTTTTGCTATTATGTTATTATGTTATCAACTTCTAATACACAGAGAAATGGTTCATCACTGCAGTTCAGAGACATATTGCCCACATTGCCAACATTCTTCTTTAGGTGAAGCAGCTTATGGTACAAACGATCACATAATTGCTTAGTCGGTGATTTCTTCAAGCTACAAGAAAAAAAGCATGCATGACTTTTTTGGTCAGTTCATATCTGTCTATCAGAAAACTTTTTACATTGATCAGGCCAATGCTCGTTTGATTTACAGATCCAACATTTTTGAAATCTTTCTCGTTGCACATCTTGCAGTGGAATGCTTGGCAGTTGCACATTATTTACCTTTTGGCTTCAAACTTCAAATTCATAGCAAATACAGGCACACACTTGCGTTCATATATTCTTACAATGAACTTGTGCAATAAACAATACTTCAGTTAAATAATAATTACAGTTTTCTTTTATAAACACACTTCACTCAAAATCGGATCCTACATGCGTAACAATGAAACTTGCTAATTTGCCGGGTATAAACACAATCCCAGTTAGCCAGTTCAGAAAGCATTCAAATACATCGTCAATACCTAAATAATAAATGCATACAATAGAAATACACTACAGAAAACAATTAAAATCAAAATACACATCATGAAGTCAACAATAATTTTCTAACCACTTAAAACGCTAGTTCAAATCTTAATAACAATTCAGAACAAACTGAAAATTAATTCAGGCAACTGTCAGCGTACTACATACTCATGAGATCATGTGCAAATTAGCATGAGGTCAGCAATTCACTCAAATATGCGTTCAACAACAAATCTAACAATAATATGTCATACTCAAACACTTCCATCATAAAATATCATATCTTAATCTAGATCACAGAGACTAATGTTTTTTAAACTCAAATACTTGATAACTAAAATGCCGCTACAGCCAAACCGTAGCGGTAAAAATGGCCGCCTCTACACCGAATCACATGTTCAAAATCAATATGGCTGTTACACACAAAATAAGCAATACTATCAATGAATGAACAATACAATCATAGTCTGAACACTTACAGTTATCGTTTTTTTTTTTTGTCAAAAAACATCAGGTTAGCATGGGTGACAGCCAATAAAAACAATTCGACTGGCTGCTCGAAACGCAAGTCATATAAGCCAGGGTATTTGAAACCACAATTGTCATCTAAGCGTTAGGCCGTCGCTGATTGGCTGCTGAGCTGGAATGCCAATTTTTTAGTTTTAAATACCCCTGGAGAGTGTTCTATGTTCTTTGTGTTTTCAATTATGAAAAACAGTGAACTTCGCAAATCCTTAACAAAATTTAGACTTGGCAACCACTGTCTGAAAATTGAAACAGGTCGGCATACAGGATTGGATTTTAAAGACAGAGTCTGCAATATGTGCGACAATGACCATGTTGAAGATGAACAACATTTTGTCACAAATTGTCCTCATTACAATGAAATAAGATCAAAACTTTACATTGTAGCTAATAAACGTATACCAAATTTTGACAAATTTAGTAATGAAAATAAATTCATATCATTACTAAGTGACGAGAAAATGTCAATTCCTTTAGCGCAATATTTAAAAAACTGTTTTAATACAAGACAGCAGCACCTACATAAACTAAGCCAGTAATACATTCCTTGTATTCAACTTATTATCTTTTTTTTTTTTTATGCCTTTTTGTTCCCTTACTCTTTATGTGGTTATTTTTCTTTTACTAATATCTGATTTGTAACCCTTTTCATCCCCTCCGAGGGATGTTGTGTGTTAATAAATAAATAAATAAATAAAATAAATAAATAAATAAATAAATGTGTAATAAGGTGTTCGTATGCAAGGGTTTTTTCCACACAAAAACGACGAATTCGGCCGAATTTTGTTATCGGTTGGCTTAATATAACCCCAACGAACCGTATTTTTGTGAAAGATTGGTATTTTTGTTCTGATTTGTAGGAATCTAAAAAACGCGTTTCACAACTTGTCTATTATTTAGTTTTATGCGCCATTCAAAATGGCGGCCCCTATATATATATAGTAAATATCGTATTTATTTTATTATCACGTGTGCGCCAGCTGACTGTGCCTGAACAGTATAACAAGATTAGCCCTACGTGTGTAACATATATAAATTTGGTTGTTCAGGATTACTTCAAAGTTGAGTTTGTATTGTTTTCTCGAATTTTCACCGGCTCGATCGGCGTTCCACAGCTGCGCGCAGAGAGTCCATAGAAATGCAT